TTTTTGAGTGCCCATCATGTGCCAGTCAGTATGAAGGGCTGAGCTTTCAAGGAGTAGCAATAGAAAGGTAGATTTCTATTCCTGCCTACTATGAATTGACACTTAAAAACTTGGAATCTTTGCCAATTAGAACATGTTCTGCTATGTAGCACTCTGAAGAAACTGCTTTCTGAAATGGCCAGAACTGTGGTCTCCCAACAACTGTTCTTTATCCAGATATTCAGTGACTACAATTTCTAACTATCAGTGCAAGCAAAGATGTGGACAAATAAGGGGGTACTTGACTCTAGAATGTAAAAAATAATGGCTTCTCTAGAAAAATCTCAGAAACACATGACCTAAACATACCTTAAAGACCTATTCCAGCTGATCAAAATGATCATAATATAAAGATAAAAAATGAAAAAAGTAATTTAAAACAATGAGATTAGGAGTGTTCAGTTAAATACCAGTTGAAAAACTGTCAAGTCGAGTGATAAAGCAAAGCAAATGTCTAAAAAATTATAAAAAGTAAAGATATATAGTGTAAAAATTATAGTTAGAACTGGGAATTAGAAGTAGGGAAAAGTAAAAGCACATTATTTAGAAGGAAATCAAAAACAACTTTACAATTTTTGCCACAAAAAATACAGCAATATAAATTTGGGATATCAAACAGGACAAACTGATAGTATAAATTAAATGAAACAATCGCTTTCAAATAAGGGGTAAGGTTGGAGAATAAATGCCATCCATATGGGAAAAGACAAGTCAAAAAAGTATTCTCAAGAAAGCATAAAACCACAAAGCAGAAAAGAGCTGCAAGACCAAGAAGGAGATAAAACATGTTTGGAGGAGATTAATTATAGGGAAATATACTACAGCTATATACTATTTTGATAAATTTGGTAATCTCAAAGTGGATGATTTTCTTAGGAAATATGAATTAGAATTGGAGAAGAAATAGAAAACCTAAATAACGAATAGTCATTGAAAAAAGTACAGTAGTTAAATAATGACCACCCAAAAATGTCCAGGTCGTTAACTTCATTAGATAAGCTCTTACTTTTAAATATCAAATAATCCCCTTGCTCTAAAAAATAATATGGAGCACAACACCATAAGTGGGTGGAAATATTTAACATGGTAACATGTGGTGTTCCGTTCAGTACCTCCCCCCTCCCCTTGCCCCAAGATGAGAACTTTGCCCTGCTCCTGCTTGAGGACAGGAAGTACCCCTAGGTGAAGGACTAGAGCCTGCAGCCTATCAATTCTTGTAACAGCAGCTGGTTTTCTCAGATCATTACTGTACTGGAAATGTTTTCAGAATCATTTTATGAAATATAAGCATAAATGATTGGAAAACCTGACAAGATAAAAAAGCTGCCTCAACATTTCGGAAAATATAAACAAACATCCTAGATAAAGTAGATCCCAGGTAGAGAACACCTCAGCCTGTGGCAATTGGGTTCCCAAGAGTGTAAAACAGAGATAACTCTCCAACTTTAACATTAGATACTTGGGGATTAACTGGACTTCATGCTGGGATAGAATCAGAGGCATGAGGCCTACTTGAGAAGGTAATCCCAAGACCCCTGCATGAAGGGCTGCAGCCCCCATAAAAGAGGATCTTGTAAACATTGCCCCAAAAGACAGCAAGGAAATTTGACTCTAGTGTCTGAGTGGAAGAAAATCTGAGACAAATCAAAGCCCTGCTTGTGCTCTCTACATAGGTTTAGAGTCCAAATTCTATTAGTAGCATTCTGGGGAAGACCCAGAGATGTGAAATTACTATAAAAATTTGTCCCAGGAAAGCACAACCCCTCAGACACCTGACCAAAACATACCCAGTATCATTCTGGACTTGGGGACACTTCATTTCCCAAGCCTTACAGAGTCCAGTGGGAAACATAGCTTTGCTTGGATGAGATTTCCATAAAAACTATATAAACACATGAGAAAACTTTACACCACTAGAGTCAGTAATACAAAAAGTTCCTCAATAATTTAAGATAATAGTAAAATAATCTGATAAATATTGGGTTGTTGGAAAAGTCATGACACATTTTTGCAACGAAAAACAGAAAAAATACGTCATGATTTTTCCAACAACCCAATAATATAAAGTAAGTATTGAGGTATTTGATGTTTCCATGAATGTTCTGAAAAAAAAGGAATGATTCAAAGAGGCAGGTGGAGGCTAAAATACCATGTGTGAGAAAACATTGCATATAGCTAAGATGGATGATGTGTTTCATATCTGCAGCAAGTGGGTTGACCCCCAGAATCAGGCAGACACTACCCACCGGTAGTGCTGGGCATGTGACAGGGAGAGCTGATCCCCTGCAGAGAACACCTTACTGTGGGAGGTGGGGGAAGCTTGTGCCTAGAGAGAAAGGGCAGAGATGAGGCAAGCATTCTAGGTGGTCCTGTCAAACTTAGGAATCAAATAAATGAATATACAAGGTGTGATCAAACAATACTGTGAATGTTAAAATAAAAACAATTTATTACAGTAAAAGACACATTGTCATTAATCCCACTCAAAATACTCCCCCTCAATTTCAACACACTTATCCCATCATTCTTGCCACTTTCTGAAGCAGTTCTGGAAGTCCTATTCCATGAGTGTCTTTTGTCACGCTGTCTTGGCTGCCTCGATGTCCTGAATCATTTTTACTTTGGAGAAGAGTCAGAAGCCACACAGTGCCAGATCCGGTGAACCAGGAGGATGAGGACACACTGTAATGTTTTTATTTGACAGAAATTGCC